CCCTCAGGGGGTCCTGTCCTTGCTAGCTTCTCCACTGTCCGAACGTGCCCTGCAGCCCCCTCTGGCACCCTGTCTGGTCTCTACCTCCCCTCGTTCTCTACGAACTTGGTGAGTGGAGCAGACCTACAGGATAGGGGGGTTGACCAATTCACTCATGCGAGTCAGCGAGTGACCCACTGCACGTGTGCTCGGACTGGCCGACACTTGGCCACGTTCACTCGTCAGCCAGGGTCGAGCCTGTACACCCTTACTTCTGAGTCTCCTCCTCTTGCAAGTCTGCCCAGGTAGTTGCGTCAAGTCAGGTGTTTGCTGCGGCGTCCAGGTCCGGTCCTGAGTCTGCTCCCTGCTCGTGTCGTCTGCTGTCCCACCAGACTCTCCTTCGGCACCACCGCCTTGGTCACCCCTCCTTGCCTCGTCTCCGAGGCATGGCCTCCCGTGTCCTTGTCTCTGGTCTCCCTCGGTCTCTCCCTCCCCTTCCTTCGGGGCCTGGCCATACCTGCGTCCCCTACGTCGAGGGGCGACAGCGCGCCGCCCCTCACTCCTTCGAGTTTCCTCCGACAGAGGATCCGCTGCAGACTCTCCACATGGACGTGTGGGGCCCAGCCCGCGTCAGTGGGCAGGGACGCGAGCGGTACTTCCTGGTGGTGGTTGACGACTACTCGCATTACACCACAGTCTTCCCCTTGCGCAGCAAGGGTGTCGTCAGTGAGGTGTTGATCGACTGGATCCGCGCAGCTCGTCTCCAGCTCAGAGAGAGTTTCGGCTCGGATTTTCTTGTTCTGCGTCTGTACTCTGACAGAGGCGGGGAGTTTTCCTCTGCCCGTCTGGGAGCCTTCTGTTGTGCACAGGGCATCCGCCAGACCTTCACGCTTCCGGCCTCTCCACAGCAAAATGGGGTTGTTGAGCGCTGCATTGGCATGGTCATGGACGTCGCTCGTACATCCATGATGCATGCGGCTGCCCCCCATTTTCTGTGGCTGTTTGTGGTTCAGTACGCGGCGCACCAGCTCAACCTTCAGCCTCGGGTCTCCTTGCCATAGACCTCCCACACATTGCGGTGGACCAGGAAGGTTGGCGATGCGTCTGCGTTTTGGGTCTGGGGATCTCGGGCGTTTGTCCGCGACTTGTCTGCAAACAAGCTGTCCCCCCATGCTGTTCCCTGCGTCTTCCTTGGCTTCTCCCCTGACGCGCCTGGGTGGCAGTTTTACCACCCCACCTCGCGACGTGTTCTATCCTCCCAGGATGTCACCTTTGACGAGTCGGTGCCTTAGTACCGTCTCTTCCCCTACCGCACTGCGCCCCTCCCCCCGCCGCCGCTCTTCCTTGCGCCAGGTGCTACCTTAGTAGACCCCCTCCCCCCTCAAGGTCCTACCCCGTCAGGTGTATCCCATGTAGATGCAGTCGAGGTAGCTATTGAGTCTGGTGCTGCTACAGGTGCTGAGCTTGCGGGTGCCGGGTCTAGGGGTGCTGAGTCTGGGGGTGCTGAGTCTGGGGGTGCTGAGACTGGGGGTGCTGATCTTGGTGGTGCTGAGACTGGGGGTGCTGAGCCTCGGGGTCTGCGCCTGAAGGTGCTGAGCGTCGAGGTGCCGAGCCTGGGGGTGTTGGTTCTGCTCGTGTGGCCGCCGGCGGTGCTTCGTCGAGGCGGGAGCCGCTCTCTGCACAGGAGTTGCGCGAGTGGTTCGCCCGCCGCTGGAGACGTGTTGCTGAGTCTAGGGGTGCTGTTAGAGTTACTAGAGTTGGTCCTCCTGGACCTGTTGTCGGTGCTAGTGCTGCTGGAGGTGGAGCTGCTCGGGGTGTTGGCGCTTGTGTTTCTACTGGTGCTGGTGCGTCTGGGGGTGCTCCTGAGGCTGCTGGTGCTGACGGTCCTACTAGAGTTGGCGCTACTGGAGTTGGAGCTGCTGAGGGTGTTGGCGCTGGCGGTGCTGCTGGCGGTGTTGCTTCTGAGGATGCTGGAGTTGGCGCTGTTGGAGCTGGAGGTCCTGTTGGCGCGGGTGCTGCCGCTGGGGGCACTGGTGCTGTCCTTGCTGGTTCTGGAGACGCTGTGCGGCCGAGGCCATACTTCGTTCCGCTCCTTGAGCAGGTTCTTGGTCTCCCGCCCTCTACTGGTCCTGCTCCTCCCTTAGAGTGTCCACAGCCTATCCAGTCGCAGTCACAGTTACAGCCCGCCTCCCCTCTACCTGCTCCTTCTCCCTACACTAGTCCTACTTGAGGTCTGCCTCCATGGTGGACTGCCACTGAGAGGAGTAGGGACCCTCGATCGCCTCAGCGTACGATCGAGGAGTCGGGATGTCTCGTGCATCTGGGTCTCCCTCAGAGGCAATTAGCGTGGAGACGAGATGAGGCAAAGCAGCAGCAAAATACTGGAACTTCTCGTGCCTGTCCTCAAGGACGTCTGTGCTAAGAGCACACTCACCCCCGACGGACGGAGGACAGACAGACTCAGACTCAGCAACGAGACTAGTGGCGTAGTCTAGACGACAACGAGCAGCGAAGTCGACAAGCTCAGCAACTAGGGCCGACGCAGCAGTGGACTCAAACGAAGGGTTAGTGACAACAGCAGCCAGGAGACGCGTGGCAGTAGGACTAGCACCACGAAGAGAGTCAGACTCCGGGTCAGCAAGAAAAGGAAGAGAGGACTGTGGAGGAGACGGCAACGGGACACGCAGAGGAGCAGTGGAAGGACGCAATGCCATCTGGTGTGCGCCTGGGACTGCAGGAGGACGCGGACGCGGAGCACGACCACTAGTGAGAGCATCACGAACAGGCGATGCAGGATGAGACGCAGGCTCACGACGCTCAGCAAGACCTCAAGTAGGACCAATGTAGGGAGAAGGAGCAGGCAGAGGGGAGGCGGGCTGTATTTGTGACCGCGACTGGACAGGCTGTGGACACTCATAGGGAGGAGCAAGACCAGTAGAGGGCGGGAGACCAAGAACCTGCTCAAGGAGTGGAACGAAGTACGGCCGCGGCCGCGCAGTGCCACCAGAACCAACAGGGACAGCACCAGTACCCCCAGTGGCAGCACCAGCGCCAGCAAGACCTCCAGCTCCAACACCGCCAACTCCAGCACCCTCAGAAGCACCAGCGCCAGCACCACCACCACCGCCAACACCCCCATCAACTCCAGCTTCAACAGGACCGTCAGCTCAAGTACCGCCAGCAGCTCCAACAATACGTCCAGCAGGACCAACTCCAGCAGCCCCAGAAGCACCCCCAGGCCCAGCAGCTCCAGTACAGTCAGTATGAGCACCTCCAGGACCAGCAGCAACAGTAACAACTCTAGCTCTAGCAGCACGGCTCCAGCGCCGGGAAAACCACTCGCGCAGCTCCTGCGGAGAGATAGCTTGCGCCTCGACGAAGCACCGCAAGAGGCCAGATCAGCACCCCCAGCCTCCGCACCCCTAGGCTCAGCACTCCCAGGCTGAGCACCCCCAGACTCAGCACCCCCAGGCTCAGCACCCCTAGACTCAGCAGCCCCAGGCTCCACACCCCTAGACCAAGCACCACAAGGTTCCGCACCCGCACGCTCAGCACCTCTTGCAGTACCAAAGCCAACAGCTACCTCGACAATCTCGACAGCGTCTACCTGGGACACACCTTACGGGGCATGACCCTGCGGGGGGAGGTGGTCTACCGAGGGAGGACCTAGTGCAAGGAAGAGCGGCGGCCCGGGGAGGGGCACAGTGCGGTAGGGGAAGAGACGGTAGTAAGGCACCGAATCCTCAAAGGTGACGTCCTGGGAGGACAGAACATGGCGCGAGGTGGGGTGGTAAAACTACCACCCAGGCGCATCAGGGGGGAAGCCAAGGAAGACGCAGGGAACAGCACGGGGGGACAGCATGTCCACAAAAAAGTCACGGACAAACGCCCGAGATCCCCAGACCCGAAACGCAGACGCATCGCCAACCTTTGGCGTCCACTGCAGGGTGGGGGAGGTCTCTGGCAAGGAGACCCGGGGCTGAAGGTTGAGCTGATGCGTTGCATACTGAACCGCAAACGGCCACAGAAAATGGGGGGCAGCCGCATGCATCATGAGCGTACGAGCGACGTCCATGACCATGCCAATGTGGCGCTAAGCAATCCCATTCTTTTGGGGAGAGGCCGGAAGCGTGAAGGTCTAGCGGATGCCCTGTGCTCGATAGAAGGCTCCCAAACGGGCAGAGGAAAACTCCCCGCCTCTGTTAGAGTGCAGATACAGAACAGGAAAGTCGGAGCTGAAACTCTCTCTGAGCTGGAGACGAGCTGCGCGGATCCAGTCGATCAACACCTCACTGACGTCATCCTTGCTGCGCAAGGGGAAGACTGTGGTGTAACGCGAGTGGTCGTCAACTACCAGCAGGAAGTACCGCTCGCGCCCCTGCCCACTGACGCGGTTGAATGCGACGGGCGACATCCTAGTGGACGACGTGCAGCACGGCGGGCACGCGGAGCACGCGCCCATCCACAAGGTGGGAGTGGGCGACCGCCTGCTGGCGACGACCGCGCGAAGCACTGCGACGAGCGGCGCCTCCAAGTGGGCGACGGAGCCGGTGGTGCTGAACGTCGCGGCCCCACACGTCCATGTGGAGAGTCTGCAGCGGAGCCTCTGTCGGAGGAAACTCGAAGGAGTGAGGGGCGGCATGCTGTCGCCCCTCGACGCAAGGGACGCAGGTAGGGCCAGGCCCCGGAGGTAGGGAAGGGAGAGACCGAGGGAGACCAGAGACAAGGACACGGGAGGCCATGCCTCGGAGACGAGGCAAGGAGGGATGACCAAGGCGGTGGTGCCATAGAAGAGTCTGGTGGGACAAGAGACGACACGAGTAGGGAGCAGACTCAGGACCAGACCTGGACGCTACAGCAAACACGTAACTCGACGCAGCAACCGGAGGAGACTCAGTGGTCAGGGTGTACAGGCTTGACCCCGGCCGACGGGTAAATGTGGCCAAGTGTCGGCCCGTCCGAGCACACGTACAGTGGGTCGCCCGCTGACTCGCAGGAGTGAACTGGTCAACCCCCCTATCCTATAGATCAGCTCCACTCACCAAGTTCATAGAGAACAAGGGGAGGTAGAGACCTGATAGGGTGCCAGAGGGGGCTGCCGGACACGATAAGACAGTGGAGAAGCTAGCAAGGACAGGACCCCCAGAGGGGTCCGCCAGGGAGACCGCAACCGGCCGACTAAGCGGCGTAAGCGTTGTGCGGTCTTGAAAGAAGGAGCGGGAAGCACCCGAGTCAAGGGTGAAGGTGTGTAAAGCCTGAGCCGACATGTTACTTGAGAGAGCAGACTCACTAGCACCTAGGGCAACAGACGCACTAGCACCTGGAGTAGTAGCCTCACGAGCACCTAGAGCAGCAGCCTCAATGCCTGGGTCAGGCGGAAGACACAGGTAACAGTCACCCTCATCACTAGTAGATACTGCATACATGGCAGCAAGAATAGCATCATCATCAAGATCAAAGATAGCAACCCCCGACCTAAGCAGCTCGCCCCAGCGAGGGATCTTAGTGGCGTCAGGGAACTCGTGACGCCACGCGTCCGTCATGCGACCGAAGCAGCGTAGGGTGGAGTGCGGGCCCCCGCACTGCTCACCAGCACGGTCGCCGGTACGGAGGACGTAGGTGCAGGGACCAATACCCCCACCTCGCTGACGTCCATTGTACCACTCACGAAGCTGCTGGGGGGACGGGGTCTCACGAGTCCGCTGCTGCTGCTGGTGCACAACACCACCGGAACCACTCCTCTGCGCAGAGCTGCTACTAGCTCCACCGCTGCCGCCGCCGCCGCCGCCTCTGCCACCTCCGCCGCCTCCGCCACCTCCGCCGCCTCCTCTCCCTCCGCCACCGCCGCCGCCTCCTCCGCCTCCACTGCTGCCACCGACACCTCCACCCCCGCCACCACTCCCACCACCACCCCCACCCCCTCCACTGCCTCCACCACCTCCATCGCCCCCGCCAGCCCCTCCAGCGCCCTTGCCCCCCTTACCCTTGCTGCTGCGGCGTCTCCCGCTAGGGGCAGACGCAGCGGCGACCGACTCGAAGCCAACGTGGTCGGCCGCAGCAGCAGAAGCAACAGAGGGCAAGAGGGGGGAGGGAGAACACCCCTCAAAGACGGGGGTGCGAGGGTCACCACGAGAGGCTCCTACAGCGACTATGCTCTTCCCTGCTGCGAGGAGGCGCTCCTCGAGGAGGTCAATAGTGAGTGTGGTGGGCCAAACTAAGAGGAAGTGGTCCCTGACTAAGCGAAGGGAGTTTGGGAGCCGGGTGACTATGTAGTAGAGGGTGATGTACATGGGGGGGGGGGGTTCTTGGCACAGAACTCAGTAGGAAGGGCAGCGCAGTAGCGAGTGTCACTAGTGCGAACGTGCGTAATGAGGTCAGCGACTTTTTGGAAGGTAGTAAGGTCATGGAACAGGTACGGCAGCATGAGGCGGCTAAGAGCGGTAGTGGAAGGGGAAGAGTAGCGTGCAAATACAGTGTCGTACAAGGTCTTAGCACTCTTGTACCGACTAAAGTGCGCACGCTCAGTGGTCGGTAAGTGGCGACGCACAGCAAGACGGGCAGCAGCATCGCGTGTGGCCCACTGTGAGCAAACAGTGCTGTCACCATTAATAGGCAGGCAGGAGAGGCACCAGAGGTTAGATCAAACAGGGAGAGTCCGTCTGCCCTATCGCACTGTAGGAACAGCTGGAGGTCATCGACCCCGACCTCAAAGTCAACAGCACGACCCTCAGCATCACAGGAAAGGAAACTGGGGGTATCCATGACAGTAGTGGTCTAGTAGGGAGTGATCTCACCAGTCTGAGTGAGTAGGGCCGGGGCACGCCGGTAGGAACAGGGCTGTAACGGTGGTGGCAGCGGCTCGGCAGTGACAGTAGCAGCTCGATGGCAGGGCGGCTCGGCGGCTCGGCTGCTGGGCGGCTCGGCTGCTGGGCGGCTCCGCGGCTCGGCTGCTGGGCGGCTCGGCGGCTCGGCTGTTGGGCGGCTCGGCGGCTTGGCTGCTCGGCGGCTCGGCGGCTCGGCGGCTCGGCTGTGGGGTGGCTCGGCGGATGGGCGGCTTGGCGGCTCGGTTGCTCGGCTGCTGGGTGGCTCGGCTGCTCGGCTGCTGGGCGGCTCGGCGTCGACGGGCTGGTAGAGGCGGCGACGGGGCTGCGAAGGGCGCCGACGCGGCCGCAAAGAGCAGCGTCGGGGCCGCGAAGAGCGGCCACGGGGCCGCTAGGGGCGGCGACGGGGCCGCGAAGGGCGGCGACGTGGCCTCAAGGGGCGGTGACGGGGCTGTGAAGGGTCGGCAAGGGGCCTTGAGGGGTGGCGACGTGGCAGCAAAGGGGCCGCGAGGGGCCTAGAGGGGCGGCGACGGGGCCTAGAGGGGCGGCGACGGGGCCTAGAGGGGCGGCGACGGGGTCGCGAAGGGGCCGCGAGGGGCCTAGAGGGGCGGCGACGGGGCCGCGAAGGGGCCGTGAGGGGCCTAGAGGGGCGACGACGGGGCCGCAAAGGAGGGCGACGAGGCCGTAAGAGATGGCGAAGGGGCCGCTAAGGGTGGCGCGAGGGGCCTCTAGGAGGGCGCGACGTGAGGGCGGCCTACGGGGCGCGCCTCGGGCAGGAAAAAAGAAGTCGAGTTCAGTGGTGGGCCCAGAGAAGCGTTCCCATGAGGGAACCTGCTCTATAGCATGTGAAGAATGAGGAATGAATGAACTAGGAAAGAGGTGGGTACAAGTAGGAAAACCTAGAAATGTTGTTCCCCACATAGTCTACCCCACTACAGCCTACACAGTATATAGCATATAAGTTTGACACTCGCGCGCAGGCGGGTGTTGTTGGCCACGGTAACGTGGGTGACGATGGGGGTGGCGACGGCGTTGGATATGTAACGCTTGAGCCCACCATATGCTATCCAGGTGTTGTAACGCTTGTTGTCGTTACGTGCGAGCAGCCAGTCGCGGCGTGATGATGTCCGGAGTGTCGAACTTCAGAAATTGCTCGGGCGAGAGCCAGTCGAGTGGCGCCACCCGTATATCAAGTATGTGCGGGGGACTTTCAAGCAACTGGACTGGAAGGTTCCAGTCCCGTTCGTTGTCGTCGGTGAAGTCTTGGCGCGGACTAAAAGGATTATTGTTGGAGAACGCGCCAACGGGGTGCAGTGCTAACTCGGATGAAGGTGAGCGCACGTGACAACGACGCGACTCGCCTGTCATGGCCAGGTTGCTCATGACGTTGCGTACTGTCGCAGCCGATGACGGCTGCTGCTGCTGATGCTGAACCGCTGGGTTCAGGTTGCGCGCGGGTGGGGGTTGATACCCCTGGGCTGGACGCACGTCGCCTCGTGCGTCTCCTCGGATTGGTCTGGCAAGGGCGAGATCGGAATTTGCATGGATCCGCCAGGTGCCCGAAATTTCTGCAAATTTTGTAGTAGAGGCGCCGCGGCCTTCGCTCTTCGTTGTTGTCGGCGTAGAAGGCGAGCCGTTCTCGTTCTCGTCGTGGTGCTGGCCGCTGCTCATCCATATCCCGTTGTTTGACAAGAAGGGCGGCGCAAAGGGTGGCCTCCGAGATGACCCCCTGCTATCGGAGAAGCGCCTTGTAGGGCCGCCACTCTGGGTCGAGCCCTTGGAGCACGATGTTCTCGAAGATCTCCTCAGAGATCGTGCTCCCAAGTTTCGCGATTTGATCGCGTAAGCTCCGATAGCGATTCAGGTAACTGTTGACCTTCTCTCCTGGTGCCATCTTTGTCTCCAGTAGCTGCTGGAGTAGGCGGCTCGACGACACTAAATTCTTAGGTTGATAGACACAGTTCAGGTGACGCCAGGCATTCAGGGCTGGAGCGGACGAGGTTTTGTATGAGCGAATGCTCAATTGCACCGACGGCGACATATTCCGCAGAAGAGCCCCGTACGCTATCACAGACTCGTTGTAATACTTGGTTCGTGCGTCGTCAGTGTCCTCCACAGGTCCCGAGTAGCTCCCGTCGAAATAGTGAAAAAACGACGCGTTTTGCAGCAGCAGCTCCAGCTCGAAGCTCCAACTATAGAAGTCTCTGCCGTCAAAGCACACACTTGTCTTTTTTTTTATATGCTCAGAAAACCTTGATTGCAAAGAGAGAATTGCTTCATCGCTGGGACAGGGAGTCTTGGGTGTTGAGCCATTTCTCTCAAGAGAGAAGCCTTGCGGAACGGAGTCCTGGCCGTTTGAGGCCGGTTGAGTGGGTTGGGATGAAGTTCCCGCGTCGCCATTCCGCAATGTTTGGAGCCCTTGCTCCAGGCTCGTGAGTCGCTGAAGCAGTTGTGCGAGGACGGCGGAAGGGATTGTCGTCGTTTCCTCGTTTGTCGCAGCCGGGTTGGGCTGCGCTTCAGCCGTCAGATTCATCTGACTTCCAGATCCTCTGGCCATTCTTACACGCGATCGTATGCCATATGTCACTTTCCGAATATCGTGGATTTCGGAGATGGCAGTGCGAAGGATTCCTGAGTCGCTCTCATACCATGTTGCGATCGGAAAGAGATCGTAACCAGGATCACCTCAGGAAGATTCGCAGACTTCTAATCTAGTGGTGGTGGGCCCTTAATCTCAATAGCAGAGTGAATGTAAAATGCTTGAGATGATGTAAACATGCAAATACAACGATATAAATAGGAGTACATAGGAATTCGAATCGACCTAGCTAGCCATGTACTCTAAGGGTTACATTCCCTTATTCAAATTCATTCCCAACCGTGCGGTGCATACAGTTGCGAAACTGTTCCCGCCAGAACCCTTCTGCCTGCAGCTGCCCGATGCCGTCTGCTGCGACGGTCCAGATGCATCCCAACTGTCTGGCGCTTCGAGTCAATTCCGACTCTTCACATTCGTTCTCGAGACTGCATATTTCCTTTGGCTGCGGTCGGGAGTGTACTGTGATCTTCATTCATTGCTATTCATTACAGCTGGTTTTATTTTTTGGCATAGTGCGATGATGGCTTTGCTGAAACTGAGAGCTGATGAGAAGGATCCGCCAGTGTCTTAGCACCTTCCCTTTTGCTATCGATAAAAAGCCTTAGAAATCGTATCATTGTGCGCGATTTGTTTGTACTGAAGTTTGCACATCTGCATCGCTTGATTACCCTTGAGAAGCTTGAAAAAATAGGAAGTTTGCGCTGAGAACGCTGGCTATGGATTCTTTTCGCGTAGCAATAGTGACAATGTTCGCATGATGGTTATGAAAGTTGTTCTGTAATATGATACTGTAGAATTGTTACCCACCAACAAAGGCTCTTCACGTTCTAGCCAGTCAAAGATGCCTGATATGGCGGACAAATGGCGAAGAATTTGTGTGGACACAACGTCCGTCACGCTGTTGCTTGCAAAGCAAATCGCGAATTCGCATTGGCGTGGCGATCCCCATTCCCAGTCCAACCCCCACCACACTGTCAAGTCTTTGACTCTCAACCAGGGCTATTGCTAGGATTCTTGCTAGCTCGGACGATCCGGGCGCCTGTGAAAAAGATCCTGTAAAATCCGAGCCAGCGGAAAAAAAGCCTTCACGAATCCGGGTTCGAGCGAGAAAAGGCCTGAAAACATGCACAACTAGAATTTCGCGGAATTGGGGGAAGGACCAAGAAACTCACAAGAGACAGCTCATCAGGGGTAGGAGAGGGAATTTTTGTGGACTTCGAAAAATATAGTGGGAGATGAAGCAGCAACTCTAGAGGGGTGGGAGAGAGACTTCAACAAATCCTTCGGAGATGAAGGAGCCGCTCTAAAGGGGTAAGAGAGAGACTTTTTGTGGACTTCGAAAAATATATTGGGAGATGAAGGATCAGCTTTCGAGAGGTGGGAGAGAGACTTCGAGGACTGTTGTGCGGGTTCTCTCCCCACACGTTTTTTCATTAGGTCGTCTCTCCAGCAAGTGTCAAGAGGGGCTAGTGTCATGACACCAACTCGAAAACACATGGAGGACTATCCCTCCTGGTGTCAGCTAAACCAACCAATGAGATCGCGGGAAATCGTCCAATGTGCCCAACATTGACACCAGGCTGGAGCCGCGCTCACACGCGGCTCCACTTGGTGTCAACCGTAAACAACGCTTGACACCAAGCCTCTCTTGACACTTGCTGGAGAGACGACCTTAGCGGGAGGGGGATACTAAGAAAGGTCGGGGAGAATATGTTTTGGTAAACAATCAGGGTCCCCTCGAAAACAACCCGGAGGAACCGAGCAGCCTCGTAGAAAGCCTTTCAGTTTTACGGACTGGTCGCAAAACTACCTTGTGTAAACAGAATTGTCTCAAAGATTACTCTATAATTTCAGTCAAAACAGGGTAAGTGCTCTGATAACATACGCCCTGCTCTCAACACTTGTGCCACTTGGGCGCCACCAGTGCAGTGCTCCCTCGTGCCTTGTTACGCATTGCGCAATCTTCGCTCGCTCGCCCAATTGCGAATTCCGGACTACAGCTAATGTCCGTTAGAGCCCTCCCAGTCGCCTTGTGAAGAGGGTCTGTAAGCTAAACCTACATTTCGCGTGGGGCTCGTACGTTTCGTTAGGCTTTATGCGTGCTTCAAAACTGAACATGGTAACCACCCGATTTGTCCGACTCGCAACAGTAAGGGCTGGCCCCACTTGTCCCACATGTGTGTTAGAGGTTACTCAATGAATGTTTGAACAACGAAACAAGCAACCTCATCAAATGTTCCTCATAGTTCAAAACAACCAGAACACCAATCACAACCAATCAGCTTCTCCCACATGGCCTCCAGCTCCATTCCACACAAACATCGAAACACGCACAAATGGGCACAAGGAGTGAACACTTGTGCTCAACAAATTGCCTACGACGCCTTGCATGGTGTGCCACTCCATGCTTCCCACCTCATAACACGCCGAATCCCCCACTCGAGCTGACAGCTCGTGCCACTGGCGTTGCACCTCCTTTCGATTCCGCCGGTCTTGAAGCAGCTTCTTCTTCACGCGATTTTTTTCCGCTTACTGTCGCATTCGTCTGTTTTTGTGATGGAGGGTTCCGCACCGACTTCGTTATTGTCACATCCGTCGGGCTATGTCCCTTCCACGACGTGGTATGCCATATCGACGGTCGTCCGTACCCACACCTGCTCGCCACCCTTACAACGGCTATGGTGCTCCTGCAACACGAGGATCACGTTAGGAAAACACAGTAGCGCGCGGAGACATGGCTTGGAGAAAAGTGATGATTTGGAATGCGAAAAATGGCATCGCGCGTTTCTCGTTCGGAACGGATGAGGGAATCGACGGGTCGAGCTATATCTTTGTAGCGTTCTGAAATGGGACGAGCCGATGGGACTGTCGTTTAGAACTCGTAAGAAAGAAAAGAACGAGCTGTTGGTGACAGCAGCTCGACATCGCGGCTCAGCTCTTTCAGTTGCAATGACGCGTCTGATTTGTCGACCCAACGCGGCGGAAGCTTCATGTTAACCATTTGCAAAATGGCAGAAAAAAGAATGAAGGAACTTGATCGAGAGAGGTCGAATCTTCGAGTTGCGTGGATACTTTTAGTAGCTATGAACCAACACCATGTAAACTCCTAAGAGCTGTGAGGATGACAGAGGGTCTGACCGATGCTTCGCCTAGGGGAATCAGGAATCAGGATGTGGTTCTGTCTGACTATTTTACCGCAAATCGTGCCAGTCACGACGATGGAAACGGGGCATTGTGAGAGGCGAGGGTGTGTGAGAAAGATGCTCTTGTGAATTCGTTGGTCTGATTTTAACTTCGGATGGCGGGCGTGCTGTGTCACTCGTGGGGCCTGTTCTGTGTGGCTCGTCCTAGTCGTGTGACCGTTGTTAGTTCCATGCACCTGCCTTGAATCTCCGCCTGTGTGGCTTGGTAACCACACGATGGAATCTCTGACGTGGGGTCGGCTAACAATGCTTGGCTGATAATGCGTTTGTACTCCACAGGTGCAGACTACACGTGGCAGTGTGAATCTGCCCAAATGTCTGTTACACGCACGATGAACCTCGCTTAGGTGGCGTGGCAGTCGGGCGAATGCGTTCACGAAATCACTCACGTTTCGTCCTTACATTTCGCCTGCCTGACTTCTGGCCTAGAAACAAGGCAAACCAGGGTTGACCTGCCTTGTTCGGGACTGCACGTGCGTTGGTGGCCGCAGCGCGTGTACTGTAGCCAGCCATCCAGATGCTTGTACTGTGGGAGCAGCAAGCAGGGTGCGTGAGGTCGGGTGCAGCGTTTCCATCCGGTGCATGGCAAATTCGCGTACACTGGTCGGGCATTAGGTGTAAGAATCAAACCCCAAGGCTACAGCGTAACACACAGCCCGCCTCGAGAACTTCCGCCTAACTGTGCCTCAGTCCTCCACAACAGTACAGTTTACATGTTATGTACTCCTCTCCTTAGTCCATCCATCCTCATCCCATTTTCAACTCGGTTTTCCAAGAACTCGATTATCCAAGAACGGATTCTGCCTACGTGACGTCGTCTTTCCTGCCTGTGTATTTTCAGGTTTGCCGGCCGGGACGGTTCGACGCTATGGGGACCAGGCGGGTTTTAACAGCGCGCTTCTTTTTTATTTCTGTTGTCTTGGCTGCGAGTAGAAAAGCAATCAAGAATCCTGCCACTACTATTGTAGTACAGTCGCGATTACTACTACCACCATTATTAGCACGGCCCCCATTATTGCCAGATGGACGTTCTATCCGATGAAGCGCATCGCGCGGAGAAGAAGAATCTGTTGCCGGTACTGGCGGATGAGAAGCTTGAAGGGAGCATCACGCGGCGCGTGAGTTTTGAGTCGATCCAGAATGCGACGAGGAGTTTTGAGTCGATTCAAAACCCGTTACTGGCGGACGACAAGCTCGACGCGAGACAGCAAGACATGACGTCGCGCGCGGACGAGAGGCTGGACGGGAGCATGACGCGGCGCGGGATGCTCGCCGCCGTTTCGTACATGATCTGCGCAGGTAGTTACTAGGTTTAGGTGCTTCGGATAGTTCGGGTTACGTGTTTCAGGTAGTTCGGGTTACGATGTTCGGGCAGTCTGGTTTACTTTTTTCGTGTCACCGTTCGATATAAGGTTTCTCACGTTTTATTTTTACTATGGTAAGGTATGGGGTTTGAGTGCGATAACTCAGGTACATTTGGTGATTCTTTATGACCTAGGCTGAATGACTCGTGATTACATTGGACTTCTGCTTATGTGATTCTACACCCGTGACTCGTTATTAGGTTGCTTAAGGTAAGCTGTTGTATCACCATCTTTAACCCGATCTGTGACTTTACCACCCTCCTTACCCGTTTCTCCTCTCTTCTTACCCTACTATACGTGCTCATCTCGCTCCCTCCCTACAGTCACTCTCGTTATGTTCAACAAGGCCGCCCTCTCCTCCTTCAACTTCCCCTGCGCCAACGTTATTTCTCTACTTCAGGTGACGTCACGCAACCAGGTGACGTCATCACTACCCTCCCTGTGACGTCTCTAGTACCCTCCAGGTGACGTTATCATCCACTTTGAGGTATCTTGTGCTAACCGCGCTGCGTCTGTCAAACGACCTTTCATTTCCTAATGCTGCATATCCTCCCTCCCTCGCTCCCCGCTATCCTCCGCTGCAGCCTTTCTAACCGTGCTGGTCTCTCAAACGACCTTTCATTTCCTGATGCTGCATATCCTCCCCTCCTCTCTCCCCTTTTCTTCTCCCCCCTCCCACCTCCAGATGCTCTCCTCCACGGCGCTGCTAGCCGTGCTGCGCCTGGCGGGCCTTCTCACCTACGCAGGCGGCTAGGCCAAGGCCGAAGCAGTGGCTCTTCCACCTTATCACGCTGCTCCCACCCCCCCTTCTTTACCCCCTCAGATGCTCTCCTCCACGGCGCTGCTAGCCGTGCTGCACCTGGCGGGCGCTCTCACCTTCGCCGACAGCTCTGCAGCACCCGAGGTGGCTCTTCTCTTCTCACGTCTTCCCCTTCCTCCCTCTCCCTCCGCAACCAGCTGCTCTCCTCCACGGCGCTGCTAGCCGTGTTGCACCTGGCGGGCGCTCTGACCTTCCCAGACGCCTCTGCAGCAGAACTGGAATAACCGTGCCGCGCCTGATGCTCTCTTCCGTCTCCCCCTCCCCTGCCCCCACCACCTCCAGATGCTCTCCTCCACGGCGCTGCTAGCAGTGCTGCGCATGGCGGGCCTTCTCACCTTCGCAGACGCCTCTGCAACACCTCAATAGTCCTTTTATCTCCCCCCTGCCCACCCACCCACCCCCCCTTCTTTACCCCCTCAGATGCTCTCCTCCATGGCGCAGCTAGCCGTGCTGCGCCTGGCAGGCGCACTCACCTTGCATTCCCTGATGCGTATTCTCGCTCTCCCTCTTCTCCCCCCCCTCTCCCATCTCAGATGCTCTCCTCCACGGCGCTGCTAGCAGTGCTGCGCCTGGCGGGCCTTCTCACCTTCGCAGACGCCTCCGCAACACCCGACGTGGCTAGCAGTACTTTCGTGCCTCTGCAAACCCTCGCCCGAGTGCTGCCTCTCTCCCTCGCGTACATGCTCAACGTGGTACGTGCCTCGCATTGTGCGAGCCTCCTTGTGTGCTGGGGGTAAGGGAGGGAAGGGAGGGAAGGGAGGGAAGGGAGGGAAGGGAGGGAAGGGAGGGAAGGGAGGGAAGGGAGGGAAGGGAGGGAAGGGCGGGAAGGGAGGGAAGGGAGGGAAGGGAGGGAAGGGAGGGAAGGGAGGGAGGAGCAGGTGCCTCTGCAAGCTCTCGCGCGAGTGCTGCCGCTCTCCCTCCCCTACATGCTCGGCGTGGGGGCTGGATGGGGGGGAGAAGGGGAGGGGAGGGAGGGGAGGGAGGAGCAGGAGCGAGAGTGATGGGCATGGCGAGCATAAGGGGGGTGAACGGCACTTCCATGTATACAGCTCTCAGGCGCACCACAGTTGCATTGCATTCACTCTCCGCTCCCTGTGTATATGTTCATGTATCATCATGTGTGTTCATGGGTGTTCATGTGTTTCCATCTACTCCCAATCCCACTATCAGGTGATCAGCATGGCGAGCATAAGAGGGGTCAACGTGCCCATGTACACGGCCCTCAGGCGCACCACAGTCGCCTTCACCCGTGCATGTGTGTGTGTGTGTGTGTGTGTGTGTGTGTGTGTGTGTGTGTTTCCATCTACTCCCAATCCCACTATCAGGTGATCAGCATGGCGAGCATAAGAGGGGTCAACGTGCCCATGTACACGGCCCTCAGGCGCACCACAGTTGCCTTCACCCTCATTGCAGAGCGCCTGCTGGCGAGCAAGCAGCACTCGGTCTACACGCTCGTCAGGTGGGTGGATTACCCGCGTAACAAACTGCTTGTTGTGTGGGTTGCAAGTAGCACTCAGGCACACCACAGTCGCATTCACCCTCATTGCCGAGCGGCTACTGGCGAGCAAGTAGCATTCCGCCTACACGCTCGTCAGGTGGGTTACCCTCCTTACACTACTTGCTGTGTGTGTGGGGGGGACTTGCAAGCAGCTTCATGCCACCACAGCCGCCTTCACTCTCCTGGCAGAGCGGTTGCTGGCGAGCAAGCAGCACTCCGCCTACACGCTCGTCAGGTGGGTGGGGTTGAGGGTAGCACTACACCCCTCTACACTCCTGGTGGACTCAGACGCACCACGATCGCCTTCACTCTCCTGGGAGAGTGGCTGCTGCCGAGCAAGCAGCACTCCGCCTACACGCTCGTCAGGTGGGCCTGAGGGTCAAAATAAGTTTCAATACATCAAAATAAGTTTAAATACATCAAAATAAGTTTCATTACATACAAATAAGCCTCCCTACGTTAGGTATCATTCCCTTTGTGACCACTATGCTTTTCTCTCCTCCCAACGTTATCAAATTAAGCTTCCCTACATCAAATGTTATGTTTTTTGTAACCACTATAAGTTCCTCTCCTCCTCCTTCCTACATCAATCGTTCTCAAATTTTAACAATTTGGCCGCTTGCTTGGAGTTAAAAAGTGTAGGTTTGGTCGATAAACTTGAACGTTCATCAGAATAATGGTTCGGGTGTACCATCACACACATGAAGGGTTCGCGCTGCATCAGGAGTGAGAGGAGTATTTTGAGGCGCCTCAGAATTCGCGAGTATTGAGGTGTATTTTGAGGCGCCTCAAAATAATGGTTCGGGTGTGCAGTCGCACGAAGGGTTCGCGTCGCGCTGCATCAGGAGTGAAAGGATGGCAAAAATGCCAACACCAAGAGTCGAACACAGTCAATCGATTCTTGACTAACTAGAACCCAGGCGTGCACCAGGCGCAACTAATAGCGTGGCACGTCGAAATGTTGCTACGCTAAAGCAGCTGGCCTCGCATTCAGATTGGTGCATGGTGATTGGCGCATGGTGTTTGGCGCATGGTGATTAGCGCATGGTGATTGGCGCATGGTGATTGGCGCATGGTGATTGGCGCATAGTGATTGGCGCATGGTGATTGGCGCATGGTGATTGGCGCATGGTGATTGGCGCATGGTGATTGGCGCATGGTGATTGGCGCATGATGATTGGCGCATGGTGATTGGCGCATGGTGATTGGTGTTGTTGTAAGTGTGCGCTTGCTTTTGGAGTGTAAATTGAATGATCCCCACACCACTTTTGCTCCCTCCTTCTCTGCAGTTCAGTGCAGCAGTAGCAGTGACAGGAGCACTGGTGGCAGGCAGGGTGATTGAGTCTTACTCATGGTGGTTGTGCATGTAGCAATCGCAATTCTTTCCTCCCTTCCCCTCTTCTCTGAAGTTCAGTGTGACAGTCACAGTCACCGGGAGCACTGGCAGCAGGGTAGGGGGGAGTCTCTCGCAAAAACTCATGTCTGTGCATGTAGCAATTGCAAGTTTTTCTTCCCTTTCCCACTTCTACCCCACTTCTCTGCGGTTCAGTGTGGCAGTCATAGTGGCAGGAGCACTGGTGGCAGCAGCAAGGGACTTCTCATTTGAGGCCTATGGCTACTCGGTAGTTCTCCTGTCAAACATCACCACCGCTCTGTATCTCACTCTTATTGCGCGACTGGGCAAGTCCACTGGGCTCAACAGCTTCGGCCTCATGTGGTCCAATGGTGAGCTTTCATTGCATTACCACCGCTCTCTACCTCACTCTTATTGCGCGGCTGGGCAAGGCCACAGGGCTCAATAGCTTCGGACTCATGTGGTCCAATGGTGAGTGCTCTCCTCATTGCATTGCATGTGCTCTCAACTTAAGGGCATGCTCCACCATCCCCACCGCTCTCTACCACACCTTCATTGCGCGGCTGGGGAAGCCCACAGGGCTCAACAGCTTCGGACTCATGTGGCGAGCGCTCTCCTCTAGCCATTTATTTCGGGGGAGATTCACCTGAGCCCAGCAGCATTATCCACACCTCACTCGTCCTTTCTTCTTGCATCCCCCTCTGCCAGGCATCAACTGCATACCCGCGCTGCTCCTCTGGACCTTCCTGTCGGGGGAGATTCAACGGGCACTCGCGTTCCCTGCGCTGCTTGACCCTGCTTTCCTGGTGGGTTGGTGGGAGGTGCATTGGTGGGTGGTGGTATGTTGGTGGGTGGTGGTGCGTTGGTGGGTGGTGGTTCGTTGGTGGGTGGCGGTTCGTTGGTGGGTGGTGGTTCGTTGGTGGGTGGTGGTTCGTTGGTGGGTGGTGGTGCGTTCGTGGGTGGGTGGTGGTTCGTTGGTGGGTGGTGGTTCGTTGGTGGGTGGTGGTTCGTTGGTGGGTGGTGGTGCGTTCGTGGGTGGGTGGTGGTTCGTTGGTGGGTGGTGGTTCGTTGGTGGGTGGTGGTTCGTTGGTGGGTGGTGGTGCGTTCGTGGGTGGTGCGTGCGTTGTTTTGCTCTGCCTTCCACTCCCCGCCTCTTCTGCTCCTCTGGACATTCCCCTCGGGGGAGATTCTACGGGCGCTCGCGTTCCCTGCGCTGCTTGACCCTGCTTTCCTGGTGGGTTGGTGGTTGGTGCATGGGTCGTTTTTCTCTGTCCCCTCTCCCCCCTCCTTCTGCCTCCCGCCCCCTCCCCCCCTCTTTTCCTCTGGACATCCCTCTCGAAGGAGATTTAACGGGCGCGTTCCCAGTGGGTTGCTGCTGGATCCCGCTTTCCTGGTGGGTTGACGCCGCGTTCCCCCGCTCCCCTGTTTTGAGTCGACTCAAAGTTGACTTTTGACTTTTGAGTCGACTCAAAATTCAACTCTCAAGGGAGATTTAACGGGCGCGTTCCCAATGGATTGCTGCTGGAGCCGCTTTCCTGGTGGGTTGACGCTACGTTCCCCCGCTCCACCCTTCCGTGTCCTGCTCCCATCCACTATGTCATAACCACATTGTGCTCCGTTTTCATAACATGCCCTTCCCTCCCCCCTTTCTTGCCCTGCTCCCATCCATCAGGTGGTGCTGGCGATGTTGTGTCTCATGGCCTTTGCTCTCAAATGCACCATTAAAGGCACAGCGGAGACACATGCGCTCCCTATGCCCTTCCCCCCCTTCCTCCCATCCATCAGGTGGTGCTGGCGATGTCGTGTCTCATGGCCTTTGCACTCAACTGCACCATCCATGCTGCAACAGCCCTCTCCCACCTACCACCCACCCCTCCCCTCTCTTCTCCTCTCTTCCCCTCCTGCTCCCATGCATCAGGTGGTGCTGGCGATGTCGTGTCTCATGGCCTTTGCTCTCAACTACACCGTGTTTCTCAACACCTCTCTCAACTCAGCCCTCACTCAAAACATGTGCGGCAATCTCAAGGTGTGGGGCGGTAATATCGAGGTACGTACGCAGTGGTAACCAGTGTAACATCAAGCATGGTGGCATGAAGGTGTGCATACCCTCACCTCAACTACACTGTGGTTCTCAACACCTCTCTCAACTCGGCCCTCACTCAAAACATGTGCGGCAATCTCAAGGTGTGTGGCGGTAGCATCAAGGTGTGTGGCGGTAGCATCAAGGTGTGTGGCGGTAGCATCAAGGTGTGTGGCGGTAGCATCAAGGTGTGTGGCGGTAGCATCAAGGTGTGTGGCGGTAGCATCAAGGTGTGTGGTGGTAACATCAAGGTGTGGAGTGTGGTAATGTCCAGGAGCGTAACATTGGCTACTGGTTTCAGTCCATGCTTAGCAATAATTTCTATGGGGGGCTCTAGAGTCTATCTGTATTCTCACGCCATGTTCACCTTCTAACCTACCGTATGCTCCCTCCCTCCCCTTTCTGACTGGAAATAGTAGGGAGTGGTCACAAACTAGTATCAAGGGCATAGTTTCTAACCTACATGCACTTACGAGATGCTCAATTCTCTCTTCTCACTGGAAATTCAAGGAGTGAGAAACTAGTATCAATCAAAAGCACAATTTCTAACATACATGCACTCAATTAGTGCTAACTTCCCCCTTCGGACTGGTGTTCGCAGGATTTAGGAACGGTTGGGATCGGTTGGGCTCTCTTTGGAGGCCTGCCATTTGATGTGGTGAGTGGCAGGCAAGGGTGAGAGCTGCAAGGGCGAGGGGGGGGAGAGAGGGAAAGGGCGATTCTTATGTGGGTAGAGATTTACGCCTACCTACATGTAAAGGGGTTCTTTTGTGAGTACAATGCTTTTTCGCATGTTTCTGGCAGTGAAAGGGGATTATGTGTGAGAAGGGGTTCGATCAAGTGAAGGAAGAGGTGTGCAGAAGCAATTTGCTTGGTCCCTTGTGTCATGTTGCTGTCTGAGATTCGTGTACTCTCTCACGTGTCCACTATCGGATGTGATTGTGCAGGGCAATATCATTGGACAAATCATGGGATTCCTGGGTTCAGCTCTGTATGCTTACTGCAAAATAAAGGGTGCCTAGAGGCCACATTATGCGTATAAAAATGCTATACAGTGCAACCGCACATGTACCAGTACAGTACCAGTATGTGTCACTGTCCGAGCATTGTACTGTATAAAGTCGACATCTTCAGCCAGCTTGCTGTATGTCTAGTGTTGTGTGCTGCAACTGCACATATACGTATGTGTCACTATTTGAGCATTGTATTATGAGTCTAACATCTTTCAACCAGGTTATGTATTGTGTTGTATGGTGTACTGATCCTCTTCGGCCGCAAGCGTGCCCTCTTGCTTTCAATGGGTAGTACGAAAGTTTTTAGAACATGGGTCATGGGTCAAACTGTTGTTCAAAGTATTTCAAGCAGGCCCAGGCCCACCAAAGCCTGCAGCTAAAATAGTGACCCCCCCCTTCTAGTTGGGTCCACTACACCCTCTTTCTCGCTACACTGAACTGTGCCGAACTGGTGGAAAACCTTGTTATCTTTGATTTGTCTGATTGAACCGTACCGAGACTTAATTTAACCACCGTTAACTGTGGTTTTCCCATCTTGACTTCACTATAACCAAATTCACAACGGCGAGAAAGAGGGTGTAGAAAGTTGAAGTACTGTTTTGTATTATTTTTCCAGCCCCATATGATACTGATCGACTTTCCAAATTTCTTCTCAAACAAAAATCATCGCAAGCATGTGCAAATGCGTCGCTTGAAAGTTTGCGACGTGCGAATCTCAATTACATTCATCAGTGCCGAACTCACATCGTGAAGCATGTACAACTCGTGCAAAGCAAGTCCAACTCACACAAAGCAAAGGCCTTAGACATAGGCCTGCTAGGGCGGCAATGACAACATGTGAAAAACACGAGGCGAATAACAGAGAATTTCAAGGTGTCTCGAGAAGAGACAAATAGCGCAATAGAAACGAGGACGCGAGAGGAGAGATGCGTAAGAAAAATCCGCGGAATGCTAGGGGAGATAGCAAGGACGACGGAAAGGGAGGGGAGAGAGCGAGGGCGACGGAAAAGGAGGGAAGAGAACGAGGGCGACCGGACGGAAGGGGAGAGAGCGAGGGCACGGAATCGAGGGATCGACGGGAGGGGAGGGAAGAGAAGAGGAACGAGGCGAGGGGAGGTAATAATCGAAAGGCGGGACGGAGGGTGACGGGAGTGCGTTGGGAACGCGATCGCGATGAGACGCGAGGGCGGCGGGAGGAGAGAGAAGAAGGGCGACGGGAGAGGAAGGGCGACGGGAGACAGGAAGGGCGGTGAGAGAGAGGAAGAGCAACGAGAGAGGAAGGGCTGTGGGAGAGGAATGGCGACGGGATGTGAGAGGAGATCGCGAGGGCGATTGCGACGGTAGGGGCGACAGGTGGGCGATATGAGGCGCGCGAGACGGCGACGAAGAGGGGGAGGAAGGGCGACGGACGGGCGATTCAATATGAGGGCGAACAGGCGACGCGAGGGCGAGTGTGAAGGCTACGGGAGGGAGAGCGCGAAGGCGACAGGAGGGAGAGCGGACAGGCGACGGGAGGGAGAGCGGACAGGCGACGGGAGGGAGAGCGGACAGGCGACGGGAGGGAGAGCAGACAGGCGACGGGAGGGCATCGCGAAAATGGCAAGTGCCGAAAGTCTGTTACGAGTGCAATTGAGTGAACAAACGAGAATTGCACTATCGAAGCAAGAGTACAATGAGCGAAGGCATGAGTGAAGAATATATAGCAAAACTACAGTAGTAACGGTAATGGACTGTGGTTGTCGCGCGACGGGCTTGGGACTGAGGTTGGGAAAAGTGTCGACGCGGAGGCCCAGAGCGCGGGTTACCCGCCGAGCCGTGAGGTCGGGGTGCGACGTGCGAAAGTGGCGGGCGTATTGTCGATGCGAGGATTGCGAGTGGTAATGGTGCTGACTGTGGTGCTACAGTGATGTACGCGTTGAGCACGGATGCGAAGTAAGGAAAAGGAATTTTCCTTACACTACCCCCCCTCCTAAGGAGGTCCTCCTTACGGAAGTGCGTGGACATCCCTGAAGTTTCGGCTGCGCAGATACTCGGTGAGGACGGGGTGGTTTTCGATTCTGTCCAGGGGAACCCAATTGTCTTCGGTGGGTGTACGGTCTTTCCAGCGGAGTTAGAACTCGATCTTTCAGGCTCCTCGAGGGTCACAAACTCTGTGGCTCAGGATTTTGTCGGGGGTGATGATTGGTTCAGTCGGCGGTCGTGTCATGCTGGCTGGGCGATTGCGTGGGAGTTGACTTGTGGACGGAACGTAGGGGCGAAGCAGGCTGACGTGGAACGAGGGGCTGACGTACCACTCAGCAGGGAGGAGGAGGTGGGCGGTGACAGACGTTATCATGTGGCTTATGCGAAATGGCCCGCATGTCAGAATGTTATCTTGTGCTCTAGCCTGTAGTGGGGTGCTCTATAGCGAGTACAACCCTTCTAGGGTTTGCTATTTGTATCCTCATTCCTGCTAGTTCAATCCTCTCTTCTTTCTTCTAAACTTTCACATGCTATCAGAGCAGGTCGATCCCCTTGGATCGACCCTGTGGGTGGGCTTACCACCTCCTAGCTTCCGCTGCTACCACTGCAACTACTCTCTGAGCCGCACGCCCCGTGGCGTGCGGCATTTTTCTTCCCGCCGTGCGCCCCAAGGCGCGCGGCGGTTTTCTGGCCGCCGTGCGCCCCGAGGCGCGCGGCGGTTCTCTGCCCGCTGTGCGCCCCGAGGCGCGCGGCGGGCTTCGGCCCCGTCGACCGGCGCGTCGCCCTCGGGAGGCGCCGCGACGGGCGACGGGGACCCGGTCGTCACCCCCCCGTCGCCCGTCGTGGCCTACGCGCGGCCCGTACAGGCAGCGCGCGGCCCGTACGGGCTGCGCGAGGCCCGCGCGCGGCCCGTACGGGCGGCGCCAGGCCCGCGCGCGACTCGGGCCGCCTGCGCGCGGCTCGGGCGACCCTACCAGGCCCGTGGCGGGCCCCTTCCTCGACACCGCCTCCCCCCCCCTCCCCCTTTTCCCGTCGCGGCTCCCTCGGGGGCCGCTGGGGGGGGGGCGAGCGCCGCCCCTTCTGCTGCCTGTCTTGGCGCCCTGGGAAGCCGCGCGTTGGCTCCTCCCTACCCGCCATCCCACCCTGCCTGTGTTAGGGTTTGGGGGTGGCAAGTAGGGGGTGGCGAGTATGGGGGTGGCACTTCTTCATTCCTCCCTTTGCTCCTCCTCCTCCTTCCTCTCCCACTGCTGCAGATGTCGCTGGAGGGGGTGGATGTGTGGGAGACTGGGGTTTAGGGTTTAAGGGGGGTGCGTGGGAGTGGAGCTAGCGGTGTAGCAGCGGGTGTGTGTTAGGGGGGTGGGACTGTTTGGGGAAGTTGCACAGAGGTTGCCGTCGTGTCGCCAGCAGCACCTGTATTCCGGGGACTTCGTCCGGTAGCCCAGTCGTAGCCAGCTCTGCCAGCCGCCCGTGGGTCCGTTGCTCGTCTGCCGCTACTTTAGCCGCGGGGCCTGTTACTCCTGTATTCCGGGGACTTCGCCCGGTAGCCGCTGTGCCAGTCTGCCTCCCGTCGCCTCCTATCTCCTCTCCTCTCACTCTCTCTCCTCCTCCTCACTTGCCCGTTGTGACTACCACTAGCTTTGCTCATAATTGTGAACTCTAAACTATTGCTTCTTGAACTTGTGCTCAGAATGTGTGGTGACATTGTGATCCACCCTGAGCTTGTACTGCTTTGCTTGCTCTGCTGATTACACCCCACTTTGGCTATGGGGGTGTGTCAGAATGTTATCTTGTGCTCTAGCCTGTAGTGGGGTGCTCTATAGCGAGTACAACCCTTCTAGGGTTTGCTATTTGTATCCTCATTCCTGCTAGTTCAATCCTCTCTTCTTTCTTCTAAACTTCCACACCGCAGTATCGGGGGCGGAGTTTGGGGGTGATGGGCAGTCGGAGGTTTTGAGTGTCGAGTAAAACTAGGTCGTCGGGCTGGTAAGTGACAGGTCTGCGGTGGCGGTC